CTTTGACAAAACTCTTCTCCTTCCCTCCCTCCCTCCCTCCCTCCCTCCCTTTCCCCCCCTCTCTGTCTTTGTCTCTCTCTCTCTCACGCACACACACACACACACACACTTACAGAGTGAAATTATATTTATGAATACTCACACTACAATATTTTTCTGCTGAGAAATAGAACTTGAATGTCAAAAATGCACTAGAATGATAGAGAATTTTGCATAGACAGGTTACCTCAGTATTACAAATATTTATAGAATAACAGCTTTGACACTACCATGAACATTATTCTTCCTTCTTTACTGATGTCTAGTTATTCTAAACTGTTATCTTCTTTATCCCTTTTGAGCATTTCCCAGAAGTGCTCAGGCAAAGAAGAGCATGAAGCCAAAATTCCAAGAAACCCAAAACCCCCACACCCTGATAAAACATTAGATCTGTAATCCTATTCACGTTTACTGAAAAGTGAATTTTATTGGAAAAAGAACCAGGGCTCACCTCTGAGCAGATTTATTTCACCCTGGTGCAATATGAATGTTCAACAACTCTTAAGACATTTTAGAGAAGGTTTGCTCATGCAATAAAAGTGCAGCTGTTACTTAGTTGGGAGTGGGATAGGGTGGAGTGAAAATATAAAAGTTATTTCATGCAGCTATTATAGATTATTCCACTATTTCACTACAGCATGACTTTTGAAATTTTAGTTGTTTGGAAGCTAGCCTTTTTCTTCGCAAATCCCAGGTTCTCCTTCCCTCTCATAGCTACTTGAAGTTTATTTCTAGTACTCTATAGTTAATCTTTGTATTTGCAAATTAAAATTCCTTGATTTCTTCTTCAAAAATTCAATAAATACTCACTTAATAAAAACAATAGTGTATAAATTTGTGGGATTAACTTTGATTCAGTTGTCAAAAGATATTCCATATATAACATTCATATAGTGAGAAAAATCATTCCTACCTTCTATTTCATATCCCAGAATATAAATCCAAAGACAACAGAACTATCATGATAAAACATGTCAATTTTAACAAAAAATATATTTGATAACTGCAAATGCCCACTTGCATTAAAAGGCAAAGGTGCTATTTTTGATGTGAAAAAGAATCATTTAACTTTTCTACAAAATGTGCTTTGCTGTGGTCCACCTGTGATTGAGTTAAAACTGATGTTATAATTTTTTTTCCCCACTTTTCATGGCTCTTGCAACAAAGTGGTCTGGATTAAATTCTTTCTTGGCATGGCTCCAAGAACTCCCTAGGCTTGCAATTCAGAATCATTTGACTCTGCATTTATTTCCCCCTGCACCAAATGATCACAACAATCTCATTTGCTGAGGCAACAGACTCATTTTTCTGTGCCCTGGCTGTCAAAAAGAGATTTCCTCATAGTTTGGATCAGAATGCAAATACTCAACTGCTACAGGGTTTAGCTAACAAAAGGAACTGTGCAGAGTTCATATAACCTTTCGGGAAAACACATACTAAGTTTCAGTGCCACTCTGCCTTTCACTTTATTGAGTTGTCCCCTAAAACGAGAGGTGTTTCTGGAAAAACGTTTTGCACACCTTTCATTTATATTTGGAATTCACAGAGTGATCAGATAATTGGCAAAAAGCTAGGAGAAGCCCATCTAGATTCCTGTTTCCCTCAAAACAGGTGATATTCCTCAAGAGGACCGAGTCCTTCTTTTGTCTTAAACACACTTTCTGAATTTTTGCTTCTTGTTTGCTCTCCATCAGTCAAGGATATCACGAGAGAGACATTTATGTTATAGATAAAAGAAATTACATGATATGAAATACCTAATGACTTGAATCAGTGCATCTGTCCTTGACCCAGGCATCATCAGCTTGTGCCATGCACAGCATGGCTGTGTCATCCATTCAGATCCTAAGGAATGTGACACCAAGCAACTGCTCCTCTTGTGTCCATGAAAAGTAGGCAACGATGGAAAGAAAAGCTATCTTCATATTAGCTGCCCATGTGAAGGGGGACTGAATGAGATAGCAGCTGCTCCTGAATCTCTTTCTCCTCACACACACACCCCACACGCACAGGGGGGGAGGGAGGAAGGACAGAGGGAGAGAGAGAGAGAATATAAAGTTTACCTTAGTGGAATAGACATACAGTATTGAGACACAAAAACTATTTCTGCCCACTCTCTGGATGGCCTAATCCTAACTGCAGCATGAGAGGGTAAAAGCAGCTGAATCAACTGCTTATGAAAATCCCAGCTGACCCTCCTCTCTTCTGTTGTATCCTCAGTTCTATGCCTATAGACTCAATCATTCACTGTAGTAGATGGACTCACCTAAAGGAAGCTTCTATGATGACTTTTTTATCAGGCTATTAAAGGGCAGTAAGGCAGGAAAAACTGAAAATTTCAACACTTCCATCCTATCTACAGTTTGAGGGAAGGTGATTGATTCTGCTTTGGTCTCCCTCCACCTGTGAATGGAATGACAGAGATGATGATTATAAGTCTCAATCACTCACTTGCTATCTCCTTTTAGGAGCTCTGTTGCCCAGCAGATGTGTGAAAACCTCCCAAATTCATTTTGAAACTTATAGTCCAAGCACATCTGGAGATCAGCTTTTCTGTTCATCCATTATTGGTGGCCTGGATCTAATAATGCCACACGGAGGGAGGTAAATCCATTATGCTAAGTAAGTAAATAAATAAATAAACAAATACTGCATCTACCTTGGGGTCAAGGAAGATAAAGGGTAAGAGAAGAGAAATTATAGTAGTTCTTTGAAAGAAACAATGAGATAAGAATGACTATTGCCTGTGGTCCAGTAAAATATAAGCTAAAAGGCACCCAAAAAGAATAGGAACAAGTTTATCTGTTCTTTAATCTTCAGCCCACAGCAATTCTGTTTCTAGCAAGCTTGGTGAAGGAACATGAGGTTGGTGAAGGCCACATGTTGGTGAAGGACTGCATGTGGGTTTTCACACCCATATACCCACAAGTAATCAACACATGCAATTTTTTGGCCGAAAAAATATCTAGAGATTAATAAAGTTCATAGAACAAGATAAATAATAAAACAGCTGTATAACTGTATTTCATTATCAAAATTATATTTTGATTATATTAAATGATATTTACATTTTTCTTTCTCAGTGAAGCGCAAAAACTATAAATAAGTAAATCTGATAACCCAGTGTGTAAAATGAAGTTTAAATAGAAGGTGTTTTAAAGAAGTGTGCTGTCAAAGATGCAGTATATATGTAAGCAAGTAGATTTTGTTAATGATTCAATTGTCTGATTCATAAATTAGCTATAAGTGGGGCACTAAAATATAAATAAAAGGTTTTTTTAAAAAATTTTTAAAGGTCATTGGGTCTGTAGAAATATTGTGTAATACATGGATTTCTACTACACAAAAATAATTATATGATGTTTAAAATTAATATTAAATGCTCAGCTGCTCCAAACCACTGTTTTGCAACCCAAGGTACCTCATCCAACATTACCATCATAATTTAGCCATTTCCTGCCCGCCATTCGGTGAACTCAAGTGGGAAAAAATTGTTGAATAGGGTATGAAAGACTGACAAAACTATCCATCCTCTCAAACACAGATGAAATCCCATCCCTCCTCATTTACATAGGACTCCACCCACAACATGTTGTGGTGCTTGCCTTCTGAAGGAACATCCTGTGGCACCTCTGACCAATCGAACCTTCAACCCTGTAGACATTAAAAAAACCAAGTTTTTACCCCAAGTTTTCAGATAGATTGCTGCTGGTGTGCCTTTTTGATGTGTAACATTGCCTGGGCTATAATATGTTATTCCCTCTGTAAAGCTCTGTTTTTATATTTATTGTCTCTTTTTTATGTATTCTAATGGTTTATAATTGTCCACTTCCCAGATTCTTTGTTGAATTGGGGAATCTTAGAAATCTGATTATCAATCAATTATAAATATGACACAATCTTCTCCAGCTCCCAGATTGTTAGCAAATATGCCTGAGTGTGCAAACATATTTGAATGCATAAACTCACCAGAAGCTTGGCATTTAACTGGCAAAAAAGTTGCCTATTCCCGCCTTCAGTTTGATTTAGAAATCAGTACAGATGCCACTGACAGCTGTACCAGCCTGCCATTCCACCCACAGCCCTAACATTCTCAAATTTCTCAAATCCCACCTTTTCCCACCTATTTCCCTGTTGTTGTTGTTTTACAGGGAAGGAATGAAGAAAAACGCGATCCATGTGCTGTAAACTTCATAACCCATTCCGTTTCGTTTGAAAATCCAGTCTCTACTTTATTAATTGCTCGCTTCTTCATCCGCACTGACTGCAACGGAGACCAATCAGGTCAACAGTCATAGTCCGCTTTCGATCTTTCCTTCGGGACGTTCTTGTCCTTTTAATGAGCTCGCTATTTCGGCGGCGCCTGTTCCTTTCCAGTTTGCAAAGGAAGGAGGCTGGTTCGGCCGAGTCCAATTCCCGCTTTGGATTGCGCCTCCCCAAAGGCGACCGAGCAGACGGTTTGTCCTTGCACGAATAACTGATTATGTTGCCTTGCACACCTGCGCTCACCCGTCGGGTCAATATGTTCAAGGTCCCTTAGCTCCAGGAACCCAAACAATGCCAGAAGTGAAGGTTTTGCAGGGTGTTATCGCGACCCAGACACAAACACCCCACATACTCCTCCTTGTATATTAGCCTTGGAACTACTATACTCAACGCAAACAAAGTTAAGTTGCACAAAAGGTTTATTTTGATAAAGGGAGACTTTCCACTCAGGGCTGCACCCTTTAAACTCTCGTCGCTTTCCCCCTCCTGTCCCCCAAGAGCCCTCATTTAATGTCTCCGAGACCTATCAAAGGGCTGGCCGGATTGATGTTCTGCTTAACCCTCTCTATTCAGACGTTCGCAAGTGGGGGCAAGAGTACAGGAGTTAAGTTGCGTTTTTAAAGAGGGGGAAAGAGGGTGTTTGAACGATCCTGGCGTCAGGGTGGGGTGGGGTGGGGTGGGGAAATCGTACTGACCAGTTGTGGGAACATCAGGAACCAGCTTGATGGGACCGATCTGCCGCATCTGAAACGCCGTCCTGACTTCGTGGCAGCTGGGATTCTTGACTCCAGAGACCCCGCTGCATAGTCCGGTGGCCGCTGTCGCTAGCAGTAAGAGCTCGAAGCGTCGCCAACACAAGGAGACTCCAGGAGGACTGTTGTCACCGGCCATTTCCACATTCCCCACAAGGGACAAAGATAAACCAGGGGACGCCCAACACACGTCCCAAGAAATAAATCGACACGCACCCACGCACGAAATGAGAGAACAGGAGGGAGTGAAATAAGTGGCAGCGAGCGTTCAAGTTGAGAGAGAGAGAGAGAAAAAAAAAACCTTGCCCTGGATAAACTTGCGAGCTGTGGGCGGGGGATTGAGAAGGGAGGGGGGGAGTCCCGCGGAGGTCCTGCACCGAACCTCTCGAAGCCCTGATCCCGACAACAGCAACGTTCCAAGCGTGGAACGCTGCAACTCTTAGAACGTTCGCTTTCCCCGCGGGCGTTCGAAGAGTTGGATACCTAAAAGATCGTCAGCTGGGGAGAAGCCAATGTTCGAAATATGACTTTTCCTCCTCCTCCTCCTCCTCCCTGCTCTGCCTCCAGTGAACACGCCCGGCAGGAGGTGGTGGTGGTCCTGCAGCCCATCCTTCTTTATTCCGTAGTTGCTGTAAGAGGAGCAATCGTCCTATTTATTAGCTTGCGCTATAGGTTACACTTTTCCCAATAAGGACCTTTCTTTTTAAAAATGCTTTTGCAGAGGAGATCCCGTGCAAACTCCTGCCGGATACTTTTTCTTCATTGCAATATACTCCAATGCTACACCTGCGAGTATTTTTCCCCTAAAAAATTTGCTTCCCTTTTGGAGGAAAAAAACTTTTAAAGTAACTTTTCTTTCCTCAAATGAGGTGTGGACTGGTAAACAAATAAAATACAGAACTATTTCTCTGATCTGGCCTACTTCCAGTACATTGTGCATCATCTTCAAGGAGTGTAAACACTTAAGTGTAATTGTACTTCTCAATTCCACCATTGATAGTGTTAAGCCCACATATATAAAGACTGGTGCTCCCTTGAGTAAAGAGCAGAGGGGCTAAATGTAAGGACAAGGTAGAAGGCAGAACTATGCCTAACAATGAACAGAAATACAGGAAATTGAGCACATATATACCGGTAGATGCTAATAAGGATGTATAAGGGTGGTGAGGTGCAAAAAACTCACCTCACCGAAAAGCAGCTGCAGGGCCTTGGCAGAATTCCCTGAAGTTTTTAAAGACTTTCCTTGAGATATGTAATGAAAACCTTGTTCAGCAATACTTGTTCTCAAGCCTGAAACAAAGGAATTAGCTTAAAAGTTTTGTAAGACTCCACTGTGCACACTAATAACTTTTCTTTGTATAGAGTCTCAGTAATGTGGGAAATTTTACATGTTGACTTTCTGTCAGTTGCCAATTATTTAAGACTTGGGAGCCCTGCTGTAGCACACTTATCAAATTTAATGTATGTTAACCATAAGCAAAGTTTAATTTAAAACAGAATTCCATTTTCTGCAGTTTTGGCAGTTTTCTAACTGCCAAAGTAAGTAACACATGAATAAGATCTGCTGCTATTTAATAGTTATATTGTTAAAGTAGCACTAGTGAAAACTATTCTGTAAAACAGACAGGAAGGATCAGACACGCTAAGGAAGAGCGGGGTAACAACAGAGACATAACTAAGATGAAACTAAGTATGGCTCAAAATCACAAATGTTCCTGATAAAGATCTCTATGGAGATTGTCAGTAATGCAGGTCATAGTTGTCCCAAAGATTTTTCAAAGGCAACTGGACTTTGTCCTTTGAAAAAGCACCTTTGGGATATTCCTGATAAATTGGAAATAAATACACCATCCTCTGTTTTACAACTGCCATACTCGTACCTTTCCTTATTCTTGAATTAAAGTGCTATCCATTCATCCTGGCATTGACAGAGTTGCTATCCTGAGCGCCAATCCTTACATTTCTATGGTTTTTGCTACAATTTATCATTAAATGACATTGTCCTGTTTTATTTGTCTCCATTTGAGTTGGCTAAGAGATTATTTATCCTTTGTTGCCCTCCCTTTTCAACATCTCTCCAAATGATAAGGGAAACATTCATTGATCAGCAGGTTAATTTGATATAGAATCACTCTAGTTAGGCAGCCAGAATATGAAATTATTTCCTTGCTCCATCCTTCCAACTGTTAATATAATAATTTCTGCCATGCATTATTCTAAGCTTAGGAGTTGAAGGATAGCATACAGATTCAGAGATAGGTAATTCCAGCATGGCAGGCAAGCACTTAACTTAGGTGGAGAGTAATTGTCATCACTTCAATATATATTTGGAGCAGGTGAATTTATTGACATGTCTTACTATCAAGCCCACTCCTATTAAATATGTTAGATCCTACCATTAAATTGAACTAAGGTACCTTTGTGAAGGCATTTACACAAAAGCCCTCTTCAATAGACAAGGTGGATCATATAGATTTGGAGAAGTGGAGAACAAAGGGTGTAAGTTCTGTTTTGACTGTACCTCTTCATGATTTCAGTGAAAACACTTATCCTTGATATGACTACTGAAGCTTTCATGTTACAAGGCCACAAAATCTACCTGAGAAATTTGTTTTCAATAGGACTACTAAACTATAACAGAATAAGTTTCAAGTTTTCTAGAATTCTTTGTTCAACAAAAGAGGAATATGGAAGCATATGGAGAAAAAAGTGAGAAGTGCTACAGGAGTAATGTAATTTCTCTAGAAATCTAGAGTTTGTTTGCTTAAAATTTTGTTTTATAAACCAAAAACCAGTTTGGTTTTTGAGTTTAGTTTTGGAACTCAAAGAAAAATTCAAAAGGCATAAAATATTTTCTTTTTGAAATGCTAAATTTGTGAGAGGCCCCATTTTCCTAAGTTTGAAATGTTCTCCCATTGTAGAAACGTGTTGCTTTATATTGCCTCCAAGCTCCTGAATTAAAAACATCCATTATTCTCTCACCTCTTTAAATCAAGGCAATAATTATTCCCGTCAGTTTAGAATGTCTCTCCAAGAAACTTCCACTGCATGACAATTGCTACAAAAACAAAACAAAACAAGATTAGTTACTTCCTTCTTTTCGTTTTTATTACTGTTCCCATCAGATAATTCTGGGCAATGAACAGAAAAATCCAAAATAGCAATTTCCACAGTAACATATTGAAGGTAATAAACATAACACAATCAACAGGCATGAGCAAACCAATTGAATCTCCAGAGTTAATATATTGCATAATATATGGGCCACCGCCATGAAGGCAGGCTCTCTAGCCTTCAACCTCTTTGGTGAACTACTTTGGAGACAAATTTCTAATCTTATAAATTGTTTTTATACAATAAATAATCCTTCATTAATAATCCTTAAAATGATTCACGACTATGGATAGAGGTCATTCTAAATGTTTCAAGTTCCTCTTCTGCTTTTATTAGAAAAATACAAACTTTTAAAAATCTTGATAAATTTATGAAAGTTTTTGGAAGAATATATGCTTTTTTCCTATTTTTGTTCCTTATAATTGCCAAGTTACCACAATCTATAAAACTTCAGGGAACTTGATAGCTGCTCATAGTCATTCTAAAATCCCTGAGGAATTACAGTCTAATGGTAGTCAAGTCAAACCAAATGAATGTCTATGGACATTCTCAGTCATCCAGGTCATGGTTGTCCCAAAGGTGTATTTTTTTCAAAAGACAACTGGACTTGTTTTGTTTTTCCTTGAAGATGTTTTATTTCTCATCCAAGAAGCTTCTGAACTGGAAACAAAGTCCAGTTGCCTTTTGAAAAAGCACCTTTGGGACAGTGGTGAAATCCAATTTTTTTTACTACCGGTTCTGTAGGCGTGGCTTGGTAGGCGTGGTGTGGCTTGGTGGGCGTGGCTTGGTGGGCATGGCAGGGGAAGATACTACAAAATCTCCATTCCCACCCCACTCCAGGGAAAGGATACTGCAAAATCCCCACTCTGGAGCCAGCCAGAGGTGGTATTTGCCGGAACTATTCAAAATTTCCGTTATCAGTTCTACAAACTGCTCAAAATTTCTGCTATCAGTTCTCCAGAACCAGTCAGAACCTGCTGGATTTCACCCCTGCTTTGGGAAAACCAAATTTATATTCTGATGCAATATTAAAGATTCTTACCCCCTTATTAAACATCATTGTAGAATAATCTTAGGAAGCCTATAATATGGATGGTTCAAGTCATCTGGGTATTTTGGCATAAAACGTAAGGAATATTCTATGTAAACGTAAACTTTTGAACAATCCCAATTAATTTTAATGGAGCTAGGCTGAAAAATATCCTATTTATCCTGTGCCTCATCAGTCAGATTCATCTGTCTGTTAGTCTGTCTCTTAATATTTGAAACAGATGCTGCCAGTTAATACCTGTTGAGAACGTATGTGCACATTAAATGTTTTCACATCTTGGAAACATTCATTCTAGTTGTCAGCAGATCTCCTGGCAAAATATCAACAATTTTAAAATAATTGTATGTTTCAAAAATAAAATCATTCCAACTTACATATTCATTATCTCAAATATACTGCATAACCACCAGCTGTAGCACAGGTGTATCAATAGTGGGGTTCTTCTCAGTCATGTACAACTGTTACCAACTAAATCATCATAATTAAGTCCTGATGATTAAGGAACAGGTTTCAATATCGGTTGTGGTACAAAATTGTCAGTAAGTCTCTAGAAATTATAAAGCAATGATCTATACTAACAATTATGTGTGAATGAAACATCTGATGTTATCAGTTCTATATTATTAACAACATCAATCACATATCTGTAACATGCAAGTATATTATTTATATTTTCATGAAGTCTTCATGATTCCATAGGTTTTATATTCTTATCATACTGCCAAAGTAAACTCTATTCATTAATATAAATGTATTGCTTTCTCTTTTCTAAAAGCTCCTGACTAATTAAAAATCTTTTAGGTAGGTATATTGACAACTGCAACCTAAAATGCTACATAAATAGGTGTATTAATTGATTGATTGATTGATTAATTGATTAATTAATACATCTATTTATGTAGCTTTTCTCCTTTTATTGATTTTATTTTTAACATTTTGTGTCATCTTACTAAAGTTGTTACACATTCTGTTTGTTCATTTTGGTTGAGATTTCCCATCTGTCAGCCAATTCTAAACTGATATAGTTCAAGTTTTCAAATTGCTGCTAGATAGCCTCATATTGATGCTGTTTCTAAATGTATATTTTAATATCCTAATTTGGGGACAGAGAGAAAAGCTTAGAAGCCAAAGATACAGACAATTTCAAATCCATTTCAGCCTCAAACAGAATGACAATTATAACACTTTTGAGTTACGTGCTATGCATGAAGAAAATACTCTTAAGCCAATTAGCATTATCTAAAATGGTATTTAAGCAGTTTGGAGTAGATACCGTGTTTCCCCGAAAATAAGACCCTGTCTTGAACCCCGAAATAAGTATTTGGCCTTATTTTGTGGGATGTCTTATTATTTTGGGGTGCGTGGAGCAAGATGGGGCTCCTCTTGCCATCTTACCTGATTTCAAGCTCTGTCTCCTGAACCTTAACCAGAGGAAATGGTGGAGACCAGCTGTGTATGTGTTTAAATATTTTCAAAGAGGGATTAATTTCAGGGGAGGGCTTATTTCAGTGCATACGCTCAAAAGCCCAATTTGGCTTATTATCAGGGGATGTCTTATTTTAGAGGAAACAGGGTATTAAGTAGAAAACTAGACTAAAAAAGTTAAATAAATTAAATTATAATCATATACTCTAAATTATAAAAGGTAGGAAATACTATTACCAACTTCTGAAATATGGAGTAATGCATCATACAATGCAAAAAAATATTTTTGTTGTAAAGTGTTAATGGGTAAATTCTAATTTGGACACTGAAAAAAATAATTTCCCTCCTTCATTAACTGTCTCCACCTTTGATATGTCTTTCTATATGTCCTGGGTGTATGTGTGTTCCAGTTTGTTTCTAGGGTTATAGATTTATTTTAAGAAGGGGATATTTCAGAATACTTGAATTACATTTTAGAATAATACTAAGAAATTCTTTGTTGGTCTTAATTCTTGGCTGCCTATCTACAATTTTCCAATTTAGTGGAAAGATTTACATGATAATATGGGAATAGATTTAAAATAATCAATATTTTGGATTGTTCAGGATTGTTGGGAAACTAAAATGTCCATTAATGTGTAATATATATGAACTAATTGTTAACAGGACCAAGGATTCTGGGAAAAATCAACAGAATCAATTTCAGAATTAAAATCTTACAGTATCTTCTACTAAAATTATCCTGTCTGCTTTTAACTTCAAATGGGTGAAATGGGCATCATAGGGCAACAGTTTTGAATCAAGATACCTCACTTCACCAATGAGATGGGGAACAGATTGATTGAATGAATGAATGAATGAATGAATGAATGAATGACGCATCTAAAAACCAGGTCCCATTACTCAAGTGAAATTAAAATTTCAATATCTTCAGATCAGTTGTATTGACAAAGTTGGGGCCACTGCACTGCCCTACAGTACTGCTATGGTCAGGTATGGTGACATGATCATGATTTCCAATCCCCCCTGCTTTCTTCTACAACAAGCAAAAGTCAATCTTGAAACCATCCGGAAGTCAGAAGTCACTCTCACATCTACTGCTTTTTTGCCTGCCCATACTCATTCTGTTTATGTGTTGAAGTAAGGAAATATCACTGAAATGAAACAGATGTCTAGTTTCCATATAAAACTCCTAATAAATTCAAACAAATCATTGCTGGAATACCTGGATTTTAATGTCAATTTATTTAACTTTACAAAATCAGTGAAGTTTCTGAAGTCCAAATTGGCATGAATAGCAATAACCAATGACCAGATGAGAAAGTTATTGTTCTGTCCCCCTTCCCCACACAGGCTAACACACAACCAGGCACACCTGCCAAGATTTTATTAAGCAATCAGACTAGAAACCCTTGCAGATAAGAGCAACCAGGTACACCTGCCAAGATTTTATTAAGCAATCAGACTAGAAACCCTTGCAGATAAGAGTTTTGGCAGTAAACTGTGAAATGCCTGCCAAGTCAGTTATCCCTTACAGTAAGCAAGACAGAGTTTATCCTCAGTCCGGATCAGTAGCAAAAAGTAATCCACGAAGCAAGAGTTAGCCAAGGTCCAATCCAAATATGCACAAGCCAGATTTCAGGTAACGCGATGTGACTCTCAGGTTTTTAACTTTGACTGTCAGAAAGCCTGAAGAGCAATCACACCCACTTTTATTCCTTATGGGGTGTGGCTCAGTGACTCAGCTCAATCCCTAGCCCTCCCACGCCTCTTTCGTTGCTGCGCACACTTCTCCCTCTGACGCTGCCTGGGATCAAGCCAGGATTCATCATCCTCGCTCCCTATCTGTTGTTGTTCCAATATGCTTTCCTCCTGGCAATATGCTTTCCTCCAGGCTGTTCATCTTGGCCTTCGGATAGAACCCGAGGCATTGCCAGAGTGGAGGGTCCTGGACAGGGAGGCCTTATCAGTTCCTCCCCATCACTTTCTGAGTTCTCTTCCTCTGTTAGGATAGGTTCAGGCGTCGGGGTCACAACACTTATAGAATAAATTACCTCAGGAGGTAGGCAATCCCTTCATTATCAGCCTCATCTTCTAAGAAACATTTTAGATTTTGCCCTCATCAAGGAATTGTTTACGAGAAGAGGAAAAAAAAACTACTTTTAAAATGGAACAGTTAAAGACAACTTTAAGCTGTTTGTGCTGTGGCCAGAGATAGATAAAAAAAGGCATATTGTGAGGAAAAGTCATATAAGAATGGGTTACAGGGGCATATTTGGACCACAAATTGAAGGGGATAAAAAGTGAACCATGACATCTGTGAATCATGAAGTAATCACTGATTGGTCCTGAAACATGTTTTAAATTGTTGACAAAGGCTGGTATTATGGCAGACCTTGATTATTTTTAACATTTATGTAGAACTTTCAAGTAAATAAAATAATGGACAAAACATCTAACATATTATTTATTTATTTATTTATTTATTTTATTTATTATCGAATTTCTATACCGCCCTTCTCCCTGAGGACTCAGGGCGGTGTACAGCCAGAATTAAAAAACATGCAATACAAATATTAAAAAACAATTAAAAGATATATAAATTTGGCCCAATTAAAAGTCACTACCAATTAAAACATTTAAAAATTTCTTCTTAAGCCAGCCCGGCTTGCTTGAAAAAATGGGTTTAAAGGGCACAACGGAAGGCACTGAGGTCTTGGATTCTCCTTATCTCTGGGGGCAGCTGATTCCAGAGGGTAGGTGCCCCCACAGAGAAGGCCCTCCCCCTGGGGGTCACCAGCCTGCACTGTTTGGCTGATGGCACCCCGAAGAGGCCCTCTCTGTGGGAGCGCACGGGTCGATGGGAGGTCGATGGTAGCAGCAGGCGGTCTCGAAGATAGCTAGGCCCTATGCCATGGAGCGCTTTAAAGGTGATAACCAACACCTTGAAGCGCACCCGGAAGACCACCGGGAGCCAGTGCAGCTCGCACAGGAGCGGTGTTACATGGGAGCGCCATGCTGCTCCCGTCACTACCCGCGCTGCTGCATTCTGGACCAGCTGGAGCCTCCGGGTGCTCCTCAAGGGGAGCCCCATGTAGAGAGTGTTGCAGTAGTCAAGGCGAGAGGTGACGAGGGCATGACTGACTGTGCACAGGGAATCCCGATCAAGAAAGGGCCGCAACTGGCGAATCAGGTGAACCTGACAAAAGGTCCCCCTGGTTACAGCCGTCAGATGTTCCTCCAAGGACAGCTGCATATCCAGGAGGACTCCCAGATTGCGAGCCCTCTCTGTGGGGGCCAACGACTCGCCCCCAATAGTCAGTGATGGAGTCAACTGACTATATCGGGATGCCGGGAGCCACAGCACTCAGTCTTGGAAGGGTTGAGCTTGAGCCTGTTCCTCCCCATCCAGATCTGCACAGCCTCCAGGCACTGGGACATCACTTCAAGGGCATCGTTGGGGTGGCCTGGCAAAGGCTTAATTAAATTAATCAAATTAATCGTATTAATCAAATCGTTATGAGAACCTTGTGAAATCAGGTGCTGTTATTATATCAGCCCATAAAAGTAGATGGAACGGGGTTTGAGATGAATGGTGTATTTACGGCTAAACAATGACCTCAGTATGGTCAATCACAGTAGAAGAAATGACTCTTATTGAACAGTCATTTTTCTAATAGACTTATTTATTTATTTATTTATTTAATTAAATTTCTATACCGCCCTTCTCCAATAGGACTCAGGGAGGTGCACAGCCTAAGTAAAAACAGAGCATACAAAATTTAAAAACAGTATTAAAATAATTAAATATTTTGGCCGTAATTAAAACAACCCAATTTAAAATCAATTTAAAATTTAGCTCAAGCCAGCCCAGCTAGTTGAAATAAATAAGTTTTCAGGGCCCGACGAAAAATCCGGAGGTCTGTTATTATCCGTAACTCTGGGGGAAGGTTGTTCCAGAGGGTAGGCGCCGTCACAGAGAAGGCTCTCCCCCTGGGGGTCGCCAGCCGACATTGTCTGGCAGACGGCACCCTGAGGAGGCCCACTCTGTGCAAGCGTACTGG